CACCCCTAAACCCTAAACCCTAAACCCTAAACCCTAACCCCTAAACCCTAAACCCTAAACCCTAAACCCTAAACCCTAAACCCTAAACCCTAAACCCTAAACCCTAAACCCTAAACCCTAAACCCTAAACCCTACACCCTAAACCCTACACCCTAAACCCTACACCCTACACCCTACACCCTAAACCCTAAACCCTACACCCTAAACCCTAAACCCTACACCCTACACCCTAAACCCTACACCCTACACCCTAATATAGGATATCATCAATGATTGACAAGACCTTTCAACCACCTTCAATGAGAACAAAGAGTAGAATATGTGACAAATACTATTCGTTACATTTGGACTTCAACATATGATGACTACTCTTCATAGAAATCATTACTAAAAGAGGAGATAGTATCATAGATATACATATTTACTTAAATAAGAAGTTTTAGATAGAAGATAAATATAAATAAATTTGATATTATCTTATAGCAAAGCTTCTTAAAAGCTTCATAGATGCTTATTTGACTTCTTAAAAGCTTCATAGATGCTCATATATATTATTAACATTAATATTAATATTATTATTTTATTCTAATCAAAATTCATCCATAGATAAAAATTCATCTTTAAATGATAATTCATCCATAAACTTCATATATATTTAAAATTCATCCTTAAATTAAAATTCATCCAATAAGTTTTATCTAAACCTAATTCAATTGAATCCTAAATTAAGTTCACCTACTCTCTACTCTAACCTCATCCAATTTTGATTTTCTCAACTGCCTACAGCTTCATCCACTCTAGAAATTCTCACTGATTTTTTTGATGACGATTACAGATGAAGGTGGTGATTGCTACTGCTCTAGGTTAAGTCGTTGATCTTGTGGAGTTTATCACCCAATGGAATATGGTGATGATCTTGCAATTGGTGGCATGGAGCAGTAATGACAAGAGCACCTAAGGCAAATTCTCTTTTTCCCTTGTGAATACACAAAGATGTGTTCTTTGCACGGCAAGTGCATAAATCAATCTACCAAAGGGTTGCTATCTCACTAGATTATTACGCTTTCCAACCAACTTGGTTCTGCAAGTCGTTACTTGCTGTTGAAGACAAGCCAACGAATTCCAGAAAAGAAAAACTTCACCGAATCAACTAGCAATCTGTAGCTCTTGGATCTCCAGATATAATGTATGAGGAACTAGAAGAAGGCGAGGCGTAAGGTCCTCATACTTTCCCTCATGTGCCCTATTATCAAAGCTGATCTACACCAACCTCCTTGAAGATCTTTTTTTTTACCACTAACCAACTTTCAAAGGCTGATTATTCTTATATGTAAGCAACCATTCCTAATGCAAGACCTCTTCAAAGACTCTTGATTGTAATAAAAAAAACTTTAAAAACATGATCAGTTGAAAGGTCATGAATTGTAGTGGTAGTAGCAAAAATAAACAAAGTTATTGCAAATGTATAAATCTTATAGTTCTGATTTGTGATATATTCTTAATTTTGATGTATATAGTAAACTTTTATCAGTTGTAAATAAAATTCATTAAATACCTGTCTAAAAAGAATCTGAGATTTAACCATTACAAAGTTGCTAAGATATTATGACAAAATAATAATGTTTTAAAATTTGTTAATTTAACCTGTATTTATATTGCAAAAAAAATTGATTTAAATCATTCCTGTAATACACTGTTTTATAACAATGTTATATACTCTGCATTTAAAATAATGTACTGCTGTCTAAAATAAAATAAAAAATAAATATATATTTTCTGTCATTAACAAAACTCTATCATAATTGAAGACAAATAATCTATTTTTATCTTATATATTTTGTAAACTTGGAAGTATCTTTAAGAAACAATTTATGCTTTGAAATGTATGCAAGGTTAAATTTAGCAAATAAAAGTTTCGAAATAGTAATAAGAATATAAATTTAAAGCATTAATTTGTGATAGGAAAAACAGATTTTGAAAATAAAAATAAATAAAAAAAAGATTGTTACAAAGAAATCAGATCATGAATCAAAAGTGTTATGAAATACAATTTTATCAAAGTATTTGATTTTGAGGGTTCTAAAATTATATATATATATATATATATATATATGATGATGATGATGATGATGATTAAAAAAAATACTGTATGAAAATGATACTTTTTTGAATCAATCAACTGATTGAATGTCTTTTAATGATTGCAACTACGTCTGTCAATATCCATAAAACATTATCATTTGACAAAAATAGTTGTTGATAAAATGGCAATGGAGCTTATCGTTTCTTTATTTTTGTAACTAAAGGATTTATTAAAAATCAAAAATCAAAAAAATCAAAGTGGTGATAATATGGTTGTGTGGCAAAGTTTTAATACAATTTAAATGTATATTCCTGTGTGAAATGAAGTTTAGATTAACCCGAGGGCTTTTAAATCAATAATTTACACAAGCCACACTAATTCATATTCACCAAATTATGCCTTTTGGTACAAGATTTTTTTATATATATATTTTACATCTAATTCAAAGCCAGAAATAGATTTAGTTGTATCAGATATACAAATCACTAAAATACAACATGTTATAAATTTTACAAATTTTCTCAAAAATTATTATTATTCTACATAAATACCATGTATGTATGAATATATACATATATATATATATATATATATACATGTGTGTGTGTGTGTGTGTTTATTACAAAATTGATATTTAAGAATCACTCACACTTTCAAAAAAAACATTACATACACCTAGTTACATAATAGTTGTTATTTTTTCAAATTACTATTACATTGTATTAGTTTAAAGATGTAGTTATTACTGATTAAATTGTATTTGAAACTATAAACATGGATAGAGTTGAAATCTGATAGTTGAAACACATTTTTATTCTTCCAAACGTTAAATTAAATTATCCTACATGATTAAATATGTACCAATATATCTTTAAATGGAAACGAACAGAAACTAATATCTAAAGTAATCTTTCACATCAGTATTGAATCACAGAAGAATAACACCAATAATAATAATAGTAGTAAAGTCATTGAAAAGTATATTAAAAAGTGATGAGAAGTAAATGCAGTCAGTGGGCATGCATGGTGCTTCCGGGTCACGGTCTGTCTTCCTGGAGAACTTCGTCTGGGTACAGGGGAGGATGCAGGGGAGGATGCCGGGGCAGATGCAGGGCTCCACTTCAGCAATACAAAAGGACGAGAACAGAGGCAGCAGTGGAGAGAGCACCGTGCTGCCCCTGCCTCCCTCCCTGCCTCCCTCACCCCCAACAACCACCCGCTGCCCCCAACGCTTTGTGGATACTCAACGGCGCCGCGCCAAGCATTGCTCTCTCTCCCTCCCTCCGCGAAATATCCGCCGACCGCGTCGCCACTCAAATTCGCCAAGTTCACATTTATTGCGTCCGTAGCTTTTCCATTGGATCGCCACCATTAAATCCACGGCCATAATATTATGATTTGTGAAGTATGCACGATCCTCCTCTGCATTCGCACAACTTGTTCCACTTGAATCCCGGCAGCGGGGAAAGCTTCGCAGTGATGGTGCCATTTTGGGCCGGCCTACGACGCCCAACTCTGGTCTCGTGGGTCGGAAGGAACCTGCAGAGTTATTGCATCGAACTCGGCACCGAAATTGGAAGTGGGTTGGGCAGAACGTCCTCTGCCCCGTGAAAACTCGCTGATTGCTTCAATCCCGCTTTAAGAACTGTCCTCTGGCGAATCTTTCGCGTGCACCTTCAGTGTTCAGTGCCCCTTTTAGTAATTTTATTCACAGAAATCCCCCCATATCAGCTGACAGTTTGGCCTCACTCTAAATGTATCCCCTGCTCCCTCTTGTGCAGGTCCAATGCCGTTGTATTCCAGACATCTAAGCTTCATTGTGGAAATTTTGCAACATGCTGCTGCACTTTGTTGCTTTCCCAACTCATGCACCCGCCTGCTCCCCTAACTTTCTGCCTTTGTGTTACTAAACTTTTCAATGATTATGAGTTTCGGGTCATCAGTCAGGGTGTGACAAGATTACGATTTGCAACCTTAGGGTAAAGCATTAGGTTTGGCAAAGTACTGCTGCAATTCTCTCCTCTGGAGCGATGCGCTCAGCAGGAACGATGGGTGTACAAGTATCACTGGTATGCATGTTGGTAGCACTACTTTTCTCCCCCGCAGCTGTCATTGCTTACGACTACAGTGATGCATTGTTTAAATCCCTCAAGTATTTCGAAGCTCAACGATCAGGGAAGCTACCATCCAGCCAACGTGTCTCTTGGCGCGGGGATTCGGGGATTAATGACGGGCAAGAAGATGGAGTAAGTGGCACATTCCTTGAACTCACAACAGTTTCTCGTGTTGCGTTGCAGTACCGCAATGTCGCAGAATAATGTGTCGTGATAGCTCACACTGTATCTGTGTGGCGTTGTTCCGTGTAGGTTGACCTTTCGGGAGGTTACTACGATGCAGGAGACAATGTCAAGTATGGTCTGCCGATGGCGTTTACCATTACTATGCTCTCTTGGAGTGTAATTGAATACAAAACCCAACTACAGTCATCTGGCCAGCTTGACTATGCACTTGATGCGATCAGGTGGGGAACTGACTACTTTATCAAAGCACATCCAGAACCAAATGTCCTGTGGGGTGAAGTTGGAGACGGCGCGAGCGACCACGACTGCTGGATGCGCCCTGAGGACATGACTACCTCCCGAAAAGCATATAAAATCGACGCAAACAACCCTGGGTCTGACCTTGCTGGGGAAACTTGTGCTGCCATGGCTGCCGCCTCCATCGTATTGAAGTCCTCTGATCCGGAATATTCAGCCACCCTCCTTCGGCATGCAAGGGAGCTCTTCACTTTCGCTGACACCTACCGGGGATCTTACGACAACAGCATTCCTATTGCGGCGAAATTTTACAAATCTTGGAGCGGTTTCAACGTAAGATTTTTTCTCGACTCCTGTCCTCTATCCCTTCTCATACCAATATAGCTCTCGCCCCATTTCTAGATAGTTGTGGTAGATTTTTGCTGAAATGTCCGAACCTAATCGATTTGTCCTGTACCAGGATGAATTGCTGTGGTCTGCCTTGTGGTTGCATCAAGCCACCGGAGAAGACTCGTTCCTGCAGTATGTCTGCAATTATGCGGCAGACTTGGGTGGAACTGGCTTTGCGATGGATCAGTTCAGCTGGGACAACAAGTACGTCGGCGTGCAGCTCAAAGCAACTAAGTTGTTGCTGGATGGAAAGGTCGACCCGGCCTACATTCCCACTCTCCGTCTTTACCAAATCAAGGCGGAGTACTTCCTCTGTGCCGCGCTCCAGAAAAACGCCGGAGCACAAATCACCAAGTCTCCAGGGGGCCTGTTCTGGATCGCGGACTGGAACAACATGCAATACGTCACAACTGCAGCGTTCCTCCTCACGCTTGCATCTGACTACTACGAAAGTGCACACACATCCCTCAGCCATTGCACATCTGCGGTGACAAACTCGGAGTTGCTAGCTGCTGCGAAAGGACAGGTGGATTACGTTTTGGGTAATAACAACAGAGGCCAAAGCTTCATGATCGGGTTTGGAAACTCGTACCCGCAGCGAGTCCACCATCGTGCTGCTTCAATATCGGAGCCTGTGGGGTGCAAGGAAGGGTTTGACAGATTTTTCTACACTCAGAATAGCAACCCGCACATTATTGAAGGTGGAGTTATCGGCGGACCTGATGCGAATGACAACTATAACGACCAACGCACCGAGTTCTCCATGTCTGAGCCTGCCCTTTACAACACGGCGCCACTCGTCGGAACTTTAGCCCGCTTGAGTGTTGGCAGCGACTTGGCTTCTTCTTTTCTGGAGGATACCATCACCGCAGTGGATACTCTAGGTAAGCTTAATTTCAACATTATATTCCGGTCTTACATTTCTAGCTACCTAGGATTAGGGCCAAGAGTGGAACTTCTCTAGTGAATGAGGATTGAATTGGAAAATTGCAGTGGGCGCTGTATTTGCAAGCAGGCCAAGCCAGGGAACTGCTGGGATCATGTCAACTCATGAGAGTCGGCAAACGAGGGGTCGCCCAGTTCGGAAGCCCAGCCATACTGCTGACTGCATTACTATCACGCAATATCTCGTGGAGAAGTGGGGTTCCGGCAGGCACGTCTATTTCAAGAATGCCGGGAAAATCACAAACAACTGCAAGAAAGCGATTACAGGTACTAAGTTCGTGGTCCATAATTTGTATGGACCTCTTTGGGGGTTACACAAGGAAACTGAGTGTGGCAACATGTATACTCTCCCCGACACGATGACTACTTTGAAACCCGGGGAGTGCGTCGATTTTGCTTACATTCAGGAGCGACCCTCGAAGGCAAAAATTTTCGTTCAAGAAGCTTGTCCGACTTGTGCTGTGGACCAGTAGGTTTCATTTCGTGATTTTTCATCATGGTGCTGCTGTTCGCATGCAAGGTATGGTAGCAAATTATTTAAGGCCATCTGTAGGGATATACGTTGCGCAGAGTTGTGAAGGTCTTGAGAGGTTAAGTTTCTTGTATGATCTTGTAGAGCAGCTAATTATTCCTCAGTCATTGAATTTGGTTTAGATGTTCTGAGCTGCTGCATGGTGGCCGAACTTCGTTTGATTGTGTTCTGTTGGCGACTGAGGTGCTCATTACGCCTGACAAGTGTTTTACTTTTATTCTGCACGCAACCAATGGTTCGTGATTTTTCTATTAAATGCCTGGGAGTCCATGGTATATTTGAGTTGGTAGTTTCGATTGCGATGTGTGAGCGGTTGTTGCAAGATAGATTAAAAACGGATGGGTGTACAACGTCTCCCTTTCCTTTCTTATCCGAAAACGTCTCAAAAAAGGTTTAATGAATGTTAACTTATGACGTGCACCAAGGACAAACTGTATGAAAAAATAACGAGCATTGAACATTAGCCTCTGTGTTGAGTAATGAGGTAATAACAGTGCCCCATAATCAAATCATGTCTGCAATGTGCTCTTGCTGAACTCAATTGACAAACTGACGCATAGTAACTACATCCCCACTGAAATGGAACAGGCTATTCCAAAACTGCAATTTATAATTCATAAAACGCAAAGTTTGTACATTATGAAGTATAATATGTACGGTGTATGTGCACAGTTGAGATTTGAGTCTCTCAAATCTCGAGTAACCAGAGACAAGTAATCATAATCTAGAGTGCTCCGATCTTAACCGGGAAACTAAAGGGTATACTAACTAATTGAGCCTGAGAGAGGTAATACTAGATTGTTTATCAGAGAGAGAGAGAGAGAGAGAGAGAGAGAGAGAGAGAAACAAATAAATAAAGATTCAAAAATAGACGAAGGAGTTAAATCATTTAGTTCACGCGAGGGACCAAGATGCCAGCCTCGGGCTGGAGCGACTGGTTGGGCTGACACTGCAGAAGTCCCGTGGAGGACGCGAAACTGATCCCCTCCGTCCAATTCTCGAAGAAATCGTTAGCAAATGCTGGCATCTTGACATGGGAGTTTGCATCCTGGTTGTAAGTCTCCGAGGTCTCGCTGGGACTAGTGGCGCTTGCTAAGCCGGTGATATACCACGCAGGGGCCATGTCCACAGCAGGTATGTCAATCTGCCCGAACTCATCGTCCAACGGCTCCACAGCGCTCAGTGCCTTGTTCGTGAACACCGACTGGGGATCCGACAAGCTCATCAGGCTGGAAGCTGGTGTCCCGGGCTCCCCGTATTTCTCATCGCGCCCAGAAACGATTGAATTCTCAGACTCGGCAGGCACGTCAACGTGGGGTGTTGGAGGGGACATGCACAGCGCAGCGATCGGAGTAGAACCAAGGTTAGACTGTACAAACGCGGCCATGGTTGCATTATCTGAGCACCGAAAGGCTGGAACCCGGGACATGAGTTGCTGCAGCAGCAAATCCTGCCCTGGTATGCCATCGTTGTGGTTTCGTTGCAACATAAAGCCCGAAGAGCTGGTAGCAATTTGCAGGGCTGGATCAGTGAGCTGATTGTATTCCTGCATGAGTTGGTTGCAGCCTCCCTCACGAACAGCAGATGTTGCTGACTCTAGCAAATCGGTGACTTCCTTCTTCTTCCGAAGCACTTGCCCTGCAACTTGTTGTAAATCAGCCGCGCTGTAAGAGTTCAGCCGATCGTCCCAAAGGGAATTCTCTAAGTGGTCTGCTAGCTTGCGGTTATGGTCTACCAAGTGGTGTAAATCGGCAGCAAGCTTCTGCACCTGGTTGTGCAAGAACGTCGTGTTGTCCAGCTTCCTCTTCTCCCGTTCCTCTGGCGCCACACCCTTGTAGCGGTTCAGCACGGAGTCCAAATTGGGCTGGCCCCAGAGTAGTGGGGGCGTCCCGGCCATCTGTGGGTGGTGGCACATTACCGCCACTTCTACCCCGCACAAGATAGAGAGCTCCTTCACCTTCTTCAGCAGTCCCTTCTTCCTCTTGCTGTACGTTGCTGCTCGGGAAGCATCGCTCTTGATGTGAGGCCCAATGTTAAAACTCACAAGCCCGTTTCGAGCCCCCATGCCTCCACTCTTCTCTTCGAAAGCTGAACAAAAGTTTACAAGTGCGGGACTCCTAACCACTATGACCTCTACTTTAAACCTAGCCTAAGTTCCATGTACGCATGTACGCACCTTCACACACCGCTGTGTACAACCCTCGAAGTTGATGGCGTGCTTGCAGCGATAGCACACAAATACCAGCCTCTCACTCAATTCAAGACACAAGGAAATGGTAGTTCCGGCACAACTACAGCATTTATGTGGATTTTCAGGGATGCCGCAGCATGTAGAAGATCTTATTTATGATCTCGGCGATTGATTCTTTCCGAAGAGCAAGGACTTGGACAGCAAGCGGCCTGAGATTGATGAGAAATATCTCTATTTTGGCATGTGTACTTCCATATATAGTACGTCAGGTGGATTTGGAACTCCACTCCATGCTACATGTGGCAAATAGCCGATCGGAACTCGCCTTTGTTTTCGGCCGAAAAGCTAGATAGTGCGTCATGCTAAGTCAGCAACTTGAGGTTTAAGTCTTTTTGACCTGTGAAACATGTTTCACCGTCAGAGCGCATGCCAAAAGGCCGTCGTGGGAACCCCAGTCAGAAGTTGCAGAGTTGCAGAAAGTAGTATACGCTGTTGTATTTGGAATCTTTTTGCAATGCAGCTGCACTGCAGTAGAGTTCAGTTCTTTGACGAGTGGACTCAACTGCAGTACAAGTGTGTTACGTTAAGCTTCCAAGAACAGAATTTGTCATTCAGATACTGTTGTCCCTCCCTGACTAGTGAAATGATATGCGAGCAGATATCAAATTATAAATTTAAAAACAATTTGAATCAAAATCTCAAAGAAAGGTCAAGCAAATTTAAATTTGTGCAACGTTTGCAGAAGGCTTCGTGGCCATACGATATTTAAGGATAAAAATAATGTTTTTAGACACAAGAAGTAATCGCCAAATAATCATGCACTGTTAAAAAGTAAAATAAAATAAAATAAATCAACGATATGTCAACGAGGGAGTTCACAATTCATGCGTAAAAGAAAAATTTACGAAAAGGTGGGAATTATGTCAAAGAAATGATACAGTTCATCACTATCTAAGACTGCAACTTGTGCTCCACACTCGGCGCATTTAACGGGCTTCAATACGTCTTCATCAACACCTACATCCTTGGGCTCTACTCTAACCATGCCAGGTCTCCCTACTCTACATTCTTCCACTGAGAGTTGGCTCTTTCGTCCAGCTTTGCGCTTCCTCTTTCTGGTATCAGAGTAACGAAGACTCTCTGTTTCAACGATTGTGCAGTTGCGCACAAACATTGCTCGGTACTGATTAACATAAAATTCATGCCTGCAGCGGAAGAGGGAAAGCCATGGATGAGATAGGGTTGCGGAAGTGAAAGATAGGCTGCAAACGAAAGACAATCAAAGACATACGTAGTACCTTTGACAATCGATGCAGAGGATAGTGAAACAAGCAGGGCAAGAAAGAACAGCATCGGACTTGCGGCCCTGTCGTTGCATGAGGGCCCACTCCTCATTGTGCTCGTCATCGACGGGATCATAGAAAGGAGCAATCTCCGGATCGGAAGCCGGCGCAGGTAAATCTAAAAGAAAGAACTGGTAGAAAATTAGGGGATAATAAGCGTTGCTCTAAACCCTAATGAACGCTTTTCTGCAAAAAGACAAACAAAAATAAAATAGAACACAGAATTTATATGATGAAGGAGAAGATCCTGTATGTTTCAACTCAGACGAAGCCCTCCCACAAAAACTGACAGAAGGACATCTAAAGCAACACGCTGCTGAATTTGCCCGAATTCGTCCGAGTCACTCAACAACTACTTGCCAGTCCGACTAGAAGCGCAATAAGTCCTAACAAGGACACGAACTCTACTCCAAACCAGCAGAACTAGTCGAATCAAAGCTACAATAAACCAAGAGCATGCTTATCCAATTAAAATCAAGAGGTTTACAGGAAAGCGGAAGAATCTTGAAGGAGACAAAAGTGGAGGAAATTCAGAGGAGAGGAAGAGAAGAAAAGGAAATCAGAAGAAGGAAATGCAAGGCAGTGAGAGAAGAAAGGGAAGAAGCCAAACCTGGAGCAGAGGGAAGCTCGGGGGCGAAGGCGGAGGAGGAGGCGGAGAAGGCAGGGGGGTCCATGTCCACAGTCTCGTCCGAGATGATGGACAACGGTGACAACAAGAGTGGAGCTGAGGGCAGACGCATCGCACAGCCCAGCCCTCCTGGAGCATCCCCACGCTACCCCCCCCCCATTTTTTTGAAAAACGACGACGACGACGACGACATCACCTCCACTGGGTCACGATTCATGTTCTCGCCCTCGTCCTTTCATTTATTTGTTTCTCCTCAACCAAATTTCAACGTCTTCAGAACCAAAAGTTACCCCCCCCCCTCTTGTTTTTATTTGCCTGTGTTTTATCATATAAAAAAATTCCACTGTATGGTCCTTCTCTTAATTTAAAATTCCTTCGAAAAAAGATGTTTGGAGACTTTCTTAATTTAAAATCATAGAATGATTTTTTAAAATCTATATGAATTGTAATTTAGCTCATATATAGTTTGTAATTAACAAATAAAAATAAATATTTTAATATTTTTATTAATTTTTAATACAAATTAATCTAGATATATATATATATATATATATATATAACATCAATCAATTTACATGAAATAAAACAACAAGAAATATTCAATTTACATGTTAGTTATAGTTCAGTACTAAAATTTAGTATAAAGGAATCCAAATGTAGATGTATTTTATTGATTGAATTCATAGTAATAATTTTATATTTTATTTTAGAGTAATTATACATCTAAGAAACAAAAGAAATTAAAGTCATATATTATAAATAGATATTTTAAAATTATTCAGCAATACAAATTTAAATGACTCTTACAAATTGAGATGCTATAATCTCATATTTTTGTTGATATTAAAGTAGACATTGTTGTTATCAAAAATTGGTATAATGCTTCATTAAAATAATAATAATAATAATAATAATATGAATAAAGATGTATATCAAAACATGATAAATTAATGTAATTTATAAAGTAATTAAATAAGCTATAATATCCAATAATAATATCTATAAAATCTAAAAACTTTCATCAAATACTTGTTTACAAATATAAAATATTTACAAATTATTCTTTTATGAGTACTATAAAATTGAGTTGCTTCAAACAACTTAGCATAAATTGTGTCAAGGACATAAATCTCAAAGCAAGAAAAATCCTCAATACACTCTTATGTTACTAAAAAGAACTAGAAAGTCACTCAAAGATGATATAATATTCGACTAGAATGGCTATTGTCAAAAACAAGAAGACAAAAAAGCCTTGAAACAAGACTAAGGACTAGAAAGGCGTTGACAAGAATGAAGAGGGCTTCACTCTTGCCTCCATATATATTCTTAACTAGGAGCTATGTGGCGATGTCCTATATGACCTTCAAAACGTGTTGACTTTGCAAGACACATATCTTAACTTGCAAGGCAAGTTTTTTATATGTGCACCACATAGTTAGCTTGTTCTACAAGCTACCAATATGTGATTAACTTATTGACCAAGTTTCTAATCTAATAATCAACTAAAAATACATATAAAGTCAAAATAGCGTTCATAAAGCTTCTTGAAAGCTTTTCTAAAAAATATTATGAAATTAATTTACTTTTATCTACTTTTATCTACTTCTACCTAATCATATAGGTATTTACTAGTGTATCAATGTAGATCCGTGACAGATTGTTGTTGTGTGGAAAAAAAAAAGTTTGTTTTTTTTCTCACATCTCCAATATGAATGGCATATTGGTCTCTATTCTTGCTTTTTTTTTTTTAGAGGTGGCACTGTTCTATGCATTGATTTCAGTTTTAAGACCTCTTTATCTTTGAATTAAGTATCTTTGTCATCTTGTAGATTAATTTTCTAAAATTACCATATAATTTTTTTCATAGCCACTATTTATTTTTTATAGAAGTGAATAACTTGTTGATTTGATATAAGTGATGGAAAAAAGTAAAATGGACAATATGCGACCCCTAGCTATATTAGTGGTTGCCCATAATATTACATCAAAGAATAACTTAGCTTAATTTAAGGCTTATTGTAGTGTTGTAACTTAGCTATATGGTGAACAATAAAAATATGGATTCTATTACAAAAGAACCTAATTGAAAATATAGTAATAAAACATGGATAAAAGATAGGGATATAGTAAAAAAATTGAGTATTAATGATGTTTTTTTGTAAAAAAAGCTTCTACTTATTTTGTATAGCCATAAATAAGACAAAAAAATAGTAGATTAAAAAATAAATAATATAAACATCTTTAGGAGAGATTTAGGAGTAGTTTGTAGAAAATATTATCTTAAAAAACCAAGGATTGATACATGATGAAAAGCGATTGAGAGCTGGAATTGAAATCAAACCTTGAGGCAATTTTATTTGCATCTATAGTATTTTTAAAGTTTTCTTACTAATTAGAGAATAAGGTTATAGATCAGACTTTAAAAGGATTGTTTTAGGATTGGTTTCAAGCAACTTGGATGGATATTGAGTTTCCAAAAGCTTTTAAAAAAATTATATTTTTTTTAATGACGTTAGATTTTAAGAAATAAAAAGAAGCTTATATATTTAAAGAATTTGTGAATATTGTAGCAAATGTAAAAGTTAAAATTTATAATTTTGTAAATATGGTTTTTTTAATAGTCAATAAAATAGTTAGATTGAAGAATATGAAAATTTAATTGGATTAGTATGTCAAATATTGAAATTTAAGGATCAATGAGATTTTTTTGTGAGGTTGAAAAATCCACTGATTCAATTGAAGTGAAATTTTGTGAGATCATAGTAGGCTTGGATTTTTATACTTCTCTTTATTTAAAAGTATTGAATAATTCAACAAGGAGTAATTTTTACTAGAAGATCAATATTTAAGTTGGAGAAGGAGAATGGCCATCATCCAAGAGTATTAGGAGTTCTTTTTTTCAATTGATAAGTTTGATTTTTTCTTAAATTTTGTATGCTTGTGGTTTACTTAAAGATTGAAGTTTGGAAAAAATTTAGTCGAATTCATCAATTCAATTAATATTTATTGGAATTTTAAAATTATTATAGAAATTTGATTAGAATTTACTTTGTTATAGATATACTATACAAAAGACTAAATAAGAATTGAATAGAATAATTTCAACAAGAAAGCTAGCAAAAGCTTCATTAAACCAAAGAAATACAAAATCAATACCAACAAAGGTGAGCTAAAACTCTAAGAGATGTATTTTCAAGACTAAGGATTTTCTTAGCATTAACTCCAATATATACTATAGTGACTCAAAAAACTATTTCAATATTGACATATTTTAGAAAGAATGGTATATTGTAGATGAATTTTAGTGAATAATGACAAGTGGTTTGTATAACAAATAAAGTACTTCTTTACACCTAAAAAATGAGCTAAGGTTGAAAAGAATCCATTAGATAATTGCAGAGCTATGACCAATCTAATTTGGAGTAGTATTAAAACAAATTTTTGAGTGTGGTGTCTAATTTTTGGATTCTATCAATTACTCAATATTACAACATTCTATCATCATCAGATTTATTATGACAATATTATCACTAATCTAATGACATTATTAATGCTTACTAGCAGCTATAAGAACACCATTCTTAATCACAATTCTTGGCATGGACATATTCTAAATTACCATATTCTAGGACCTTCTAAAATCTTTTGAAAATTTTTAGAACCTTTTAGATATTTATAGAATATTCTATAATCTTTTAGAAAGTTCCATAGGATTCTAGAAGCTTCTTTATACTTCTAGAAGCTTTTTTAGACTTTTAGAAATTTCTATAGAAAATACCATAGACTTCTGTAACCTTCATTATAATATAAATAGAAGTCTTTGGATTTTTTTTGCTATCAATCTCATTCTTTATCTTTAATCTTGACATATTTCTTTGTCACATTCTTATGTCCTTGATAATTCCTTGAATAACTATGAGATCCATTCTCCGCTCTCTCCAAGATAACATCACCTTTATTCTTCTTCATTCTCAAAAATCTTATGGCCAAATCGCTTTTGAATTTGGTTGTAGTAAAGCTGCTATCTTTAGGCTAGCAAAAAAGATCACTTTTAATAGGAAAAAACTTAAATTAGGCAGACCAAAGAAGTTTACTATAGTAGATGAAAGGATAATCATTTATCAAATCAATATTGGAAAGGTTGAAAATGCAATTGAGGTTGCTAAAAATCTTAAAAATATTATCTGTAATCTTATGTGAACTCAAATCATTCAAAATATTTTCAAAAAATGGAATATAAAAGCTATGGTGAAAAAAATAAAAAAATAAAAAAATCCACTATTATCTATCTGCCATTGGAAATAATGCTTAGATTTTGTTCTAAAGTACAAAGAATGGACTATGCAAGATTAGAAGAAGGTTATTTAATCAGATGAAATAAAAATCAATAGATTTGGATTAGAAGAAAAAAAGTGGGAATAGAAACAAAAAAGTGAGTCCTTGCTTGATAAGAAAATCTAACAAATAGTTAAGCATGGGAGTAGAAATATAATAGTATAAGATTGTGTGGAATAGAATGGAGTTGAGAGGATTATAGAGGTTGATGAGAGGATGGATGCCAAATAATTTGTAGAAATTCTTGAAAAAAAATCTGTTCTTTAGCATTGAAGAATCTAATATTTCTTAAAAGGAGGTGTTTTTTTAGTAAGATAACAACCCCAAGTATAACTCAAAACTAGCATGGAAGTGGTTTGATCATCATGGAATTAAAGTAATGGATTGGCCTGTTCAATCTCTTGATCTTAATCCCATTGAACATCTTTGGTAGCATCTCAAACACCAGTTCAAGATCTAAAAGATAAAACCAAAAGGAGTTTGGAAATTATGGAAAATAATAACTATAGAATGAAATAATATTGAAGCAATTTTGTACCAAAAGTTAATAAAAAGTATGTCTAGGATGTAAAAAGCAATTATGAAGGCCAAATGAAGTCTTACAAAGTACTAATATGTAATTGGATACGACACTCAAAAAAATGTTTTAATACTATTTTAAATTAGATTGGTCATAGTTCCACAATTACTTAATAGATTTTTTTTCCATTTAGATTCATTTAGTAGCTGTAAAAGAATAGTTCATTTGCTATAAAAACCACATATCATTTTTGTTGTGTAATTTAGCTGAAATATACCATTTTTTTTAAAAAATATGTCAACATAAA